GAGCCTCCACATGAACTCTCCACTGTATGTGGTAGAAAAGCAGAGAAATATGCTACCCCTTCAACACTTGTTCAAAGACTTTTCTCCCTGCCTGTTCCTTCTCCAGCTTTTAGCTCTTAGTGTGCTTTAAGGTTTTGGTACCAGGCAAAGCATTGGGCTACTTGTGGGGAGAGATACAGCGTTTGCTGCATTAGGACAGCAGTCTTTAAGGTGGTCAGAAAATACTTGAGCATTACCCTGGGATGCTTTAATAAAGACCCTGGCAATTCAGGAACAAACATGGGCAAAGCATTTGCAGCAAGGAGGGAAATGGGTAAGAGGGGGAAATGGACGGTATCGTGGGTAATTACACTGTCACTTTCTTAAATGTCCTAGGATAAGAAATGGTGCATTTGTATTTTTCCCTGTGGTTTGCGGCCTCTTCTACTCAGTCACAAACTGTCTCAGAAAATACTGTTTGCAAACGTGTGTTTTTAAGGGATAAAGAGAATGGCACAAAGACTGGGACAGGAGCAGGTAGAGTGGCTATATATGCGGGGGGGAAATGGGAGATTACAAGGGAATGGGTATTGTGATAAACAGTTGTCCCAGACTATGTAAAAGGAGAAGTCAGGAATTCCTATGCTGTGATGTAATCATTTTTGTAAGCTTTTCAAGGAAACAAAAATGTACAAAGTTCACAGTATCACTGAACTTATTAAATGCAAAAGTAACTGTGTTCGTTCCCATAATCAGCATTCATAAACCAGTATTTTCTCTCTAAACTTTGCTGGCAAGACTGATGTCTCCAGAGAGAATACAAGGAAGCAAACACAGCAACATTAGTATCATGTCTCTTTAGAAAGTCTGGGCCAAGCAAGATGCAGGTCTTGCAAACAAAAACCCCATAAACCCCACCATGTTTTACACGAGCAGCTCTTGGGACTACAGAATGACCTCTTTAGCAGAATGTTTAAGGCAAGCTTAGGGATTTTGTACCAGGATTTTCATTCTCTTGAGTTCTCCAGGGTTTGCACACAATGCTAAAATCAGGAGACAGAAATACGAATGAATGAACGGATTTGACAAACGGCTGCTGTCTCAATTCCAGTTGTGATTGACTGTTCCTAAAGGGATAAGTGCAGTTGTCCCATCCGTTCCTGTCTCTCTCCTGAGAAGTGTTTAGGGTACATACGAAAATGAAAACCAAAAGTACTTGTGGCTGCCGGGCTTGGTTTGAACCCTTTGAATGAGAGGCTGCCTCTGCTGTGGAGTGTCAGCTTTTGAGAGCAGTCGAGCACCAAGCGGCAGCCTCAGTTTTTAATTTCTTTGCCTTTGTAGGTTTCAGACAGACTCCAACCAGATGTCTGTGTTAATGAAGCACTAAGTACATTATGTAATTATAAGGTTTTGAATATAATTGCTGTGTATGCTGCATAATTTAAGTTCCAACTGTACTTGCATCTCTCATTTACCAAGCCAGTGAAGGATATAATAATATTGAACACAATAACAGCTCACAGTGTAGTCATAGAGGTTGCATTTAATGAGCTTGTTTGTGATTCTTATAAAGAGATCCTCTCATGGCAGATAAAATCACAGTAGCCAAAGGTTAAGGTTATCTGTAAGATGAATCTTTTCCTTGCAAGTCTGGATATAATGCCCTGAGTGAGGAAATATCTGATACTAAACTTGTAGTCTGAGACTGGAGATCTGCCAGCTCTTGCAGAGTGAGTTCTCCAACATACAGTGCATTATGGCAGGAGAGAACAGGGGTGCTCTTGGGTGTAAAAAGGAGCTTGCCGTCTTGTTTTGTCCATTTGTGAGGTGGTTGGACATGAGCAGAGACCGGTGAATCTGAGGAGACAAGGGCTTGGATAAAATAGGTTTTTTGATGGTGGGATCTTGCATACATGTTAGGCTTTACACACGCTAGGCAAGTACTGTTCTCGGAGGTTTCTTGTTTTTTGAGTTGGCTGGCTTCCTGGCCATGCAGTTTGGTAGAACTGTAAAGTTTATTTCTGCTCTATGGTGGAGATGCAGTGAAATACTTTTCCTTGGTAAAACCTGAGCCTTCTGACTGCGGAATGCTTGGTAGGCTATGGGCTACATGGGTGGTAGACGTAAAATTCCCATGTTTCTCATTCCAATTATTATGAGAAGGATGGAGCATGGTTTTGAGCTGAGGCTCCTTGCCTCTCAGTCACTGAGGTTCTGTAGATACTGCTTAATTCCCCCATGCTCCCATTTTGATAAAACAAAATGCAGCTTTCATGAGGCAATCATTTTAGCCAAAAGTTGTTAAACTGAAGTCCTGTTCCGTCTTTACAGGTTGCTAGTTTTGCATCTCACTGTTAGCACAAGATGCAGGCTGAAGCACATGGCCTTTTCCACAGGCTCAACTCTGCAGCTATCTAGTGGGCTATGATTAAAAAAGTCAACTTTTCTTTCCATTCATACTCTTGTAGCTTTTACTGCAGAGATCTTACTTCAAGACTTGGCAGCAGCAGCCTGCTTATCAGACTTATTAAACACAATCTCTGAATGCTGCTATTAGTGTCATTTTCCTTGGCAGTTGTTCTTGCCACTGTCACCCTTCCTTGCTAGCTCCTTGTCTTTCTCCAGCTCAGATTCTGCATCCCATTTCATTATTTACTTTATACATCATTATGTCTAGGTCTGCACTAGTAGTTAGTTGTGGGAAGGTAAATTAATAACAAATATTGAAGTACCATGATGTATAAGAAGGTTCATCAGAGCATACATGTTTGTTAACAATGTTTAATACTTTGAATGAAAGTTACTGATTTCATTGAATCAGTGAAAACACTGGGGTTCCTATTGAGAAGTGAAAGAGAGCAGTATGAATGAAACTCATCCTGAATGGAATGGACTGACCTGTTTTATGTTTGAACTCACTTAAGCTTATGTGAAGACCAAGTGCTCTGACTCCTCATTGGTGCTTGAGCTGGAGGAGAGCAGTGAGTCTACATCAGTTTTGTTTGAAAGGGTTAACATCAGTGCTTTAACCTAGGTTCTCTTTTTTAAAACCTGTCAGGTTTTGAGTTTCAGTTTTCAAGATCTAAGGAGAACTTGAAAATTGGAGAGCGTTTATGTCCAGAGAAGGCAATTCTGCATAGGTTTTGTGAGAAATCTTGATCCTAACTTGATTTTAGTAAAGACGGGGTTGGAATTTAGAGTTTCTGATGAAATCTCAAGCCATACAGGTTTCATATAATTTAAGTATAAAAAAAATTCAAGTATAAAAGTATTTTCATTCATCAATCTAAGGAGTTAATATATATTTAAATACATATGCCCACTGCTCTTTGCTTGATTTGAGTATTACAGATTTTAAAGAAACCTAAAAAAACCACAGGTGTTTAAATCTGCCAAGTGATCCTTCATGAAAAGAAATATCTTTCTCTTTAAGTGTGATTTTTATCTGTTGTTTGGAGTCACTTTGGAGAAAAGCCTATTACATTGCAGGGCACAGCACTGGTTGTCCTTAGCATTTGTTAGAGTAGCAGCAAACTGAGATAGACAGCTTTGTGCTGAGCAGTGTACCAATATCCATAAGCATACTGTGTGGAAGGAAGGAAGTCTTTTCCCTGTTTTGTTGTTGGGGCAAAAGTGAATTGCTAAAGGGTATCCAGTACATTTCTGGCAGAATTCAGATTGCTTAAATCCCTCCAGTCCTTTAGCTACAGAACATCCTTTTCCCCTATTTTTTGTACAGTAGAAGTAGCTCTCTCAACATGTGCTTTGTAGACTAAATGCAAACAGATGTTAATAGCTTATGATTGAATTTCCTTCTTTGTATGTCTGTGCTGATTTTAGTGTGATTAAACATTTCTAAGATAACACAGTTGTCTTTGTCCCTTCCAAATGTGATGAGCAAAACATTTCTCTGAATAATCAGTTTCATTCCCCATTCTTGCCTTGTGTAGAATTTATATTCTTCAAATTCTTCTTTAGCTGCAGACATCTTAATTTCTTAGCTGCAGATTCTTTCTTGATTTTCATAAGACATTTCCAGCTTGATTATGGTTATTTTTTCAGAAGAGAAATTGAGAAGGAGGGAACATCAGTTCTGTGGAGATGGTGCCTTCTGGCACTTCAAACACTGCCTCTCCAGGGCATGATGAAGAAAGCAAAGCTCACACAAAGGAAAACAAAGCAGTGTCCCCTGCTTTCCCATTGAAGAGTCAGTAACAGCTGTCTCAGCTTGAAAGGTTCCCACCACTGACAATGCTGCAGCTTGCAGGGTTACTGTTATTTGAGTTAGCCCTCTGACTTCCAAGTGTTTCCCTCTTAGGAGATTGGACTGGAATATCTTACTTTAGGAGCCACAATGAGGAAACTTGTCTTGGCAACTGGCAGCCACATGTCTTTTAAACTTTAATAACTTCACTATTTGGTACAGTGGGAAATTCTTTGTCCTTGGAGTGCAGTGAGAAAACTGCACTTACTCAGGTTACCTTTCTGTTACATTACTGAATTATCAAGAGAAGTGCAGAAATGTGAAAAAACAATTCTCTTATTTGAAAATCGGTTACTGGAGGCCAGTTCTGCATTTCCAAAGGGTTATCAACCCTTTCAGTTCTTTTCTGAGAGATTATTCTTAAGGGAAGTACTTAAATGCATGCGTGTCCTTTCTGGCCATCCAGTGGTATCTTGCAGACTTGAATGCCTTAAGCATTACCGAGCGAAGGAGTGGTAATTTGGACCTTTTGGGGCAGATCTTACTCATTTAAATGCAAACTGCTTTTTGGAGATAGTAACATCTGTCCTCCCTTCTTGTCAGGCATTGCTTGGCTTTGCTAAATTTCAGACACAGCAGGAGGCCACCTTGTTGTGCTATAGTGACTGCAGGATTCTGACAGTCCTCACTGCTGGAGCAAAACCAAGCTGGTATGGTTAGCAGTGTTGCTCAAGGGTTGTATATGAATGGCTTATTTGGGACCCTGTGATTATATGAAAGCTTTAAGAGACTTTTTGTTATCTTCTTTTCCCTGCAGTGGCCAGTTTGCCATAGTGAAGAAATGTCGAGACAAGAGCACGGGGCTGGAGTACGCTGCTAAGTTCATTAAGAAACGCCAGAGCCGGGCCAGCCGCCGTGGAGTGAGGCGTGAGGAAATTGAGCGGGAGGTCTCCATCCTGCAGCAGATCCTGCATGCCAACATCATCAAGTTGCATGACATCTATGAGAATAAGACGGATGTGGTCCTCATCCTTGAGCTGTGAGTAAGGGGACTTCCTGTCCTCTGGGGTAGTATGAGGTAAATAGGAAGCGGAAAGGGCTGCAGAGGTAGAACAGAGGCGCTGTTAAAATGGAGCTGTTGTGTTCTCAGGCCTCGCAGATCCTGGCAGGAGAATTGCATGGGGTTCCTGATAAACAGGCCCCCCAGTTCATCCATGTGCCTTGGCGATACAGGTGCACCTGCACATCAGCTGAGGCTGTTGTTACTGAGCCAGGGAGTGCTGTCAGCCTGAAACAGTTTACTCACAGAGGGATTACCTCATGTCTGCCTAGTGCTGCCCTGATGTGAACCTTGGAGGAAGCACGAATGGACTCTGAATGTTGATTTCAGTTTTCTGTCTGCTTTCATCTCTTCCAATACATGTGAAGGTGTCCAGTTCTTTGCCCTGTTTGTAGCTGTTCTCTGTACTCCCATATTTTCCTCATTTAGAGGAGACTAGGGGAAAAAAGGGAAGGAGGGCAAGGGAAGAGGTTTATTTAAATCCCTAGACTTTGACTATTGAGGATGAATAGTGGCAGGGTGGGAGCGAAGGAAAGCTGCTTACTCTTCTTTTGTTGCCACCATGTGATGGAGGAAAACCCCTGCCATTTGGGACTGGGTGTCTTTATAACCAGACTTACACTGGGGTAATGAATTTGGATGAAACTTGGCACTTGACTTGTTGCCATTCCAGGTGTTTCATGGCTGAGGATTAGGAATGCAACGGAAGTGAGAGGCTGTGTGCATGGATGGTCATACAAACCTGTGTTCAAAACCTGTCTTTCTGTACAGTTCACAGTGTGTTTTGTTGGTCTGCCATAAGGAATGTGAATTCTTAGTGCACATGCAAATTTACATCTGTGTGTATTTGTGTGGCTCAGCCTTCCTAATCTCCACGGAGAACCAGGGAAAGCCTGAACACTGTCACACAAAGCAGAGCAGGGTACAATTGTGCTTGTACTCCTCAGAGCCAGGAATGGAAGTAGCTGTTACAGTAAATGGAGCTTTGCTGGTGAGAATGTGTGGTCTTGGCCTAAGGGGATGAAGTTTGTCATGTAATGAAGGAAGACACATCAATTTAAGGTTTTTTGGGCTGTGTCCTGCTCTTTGGTGGAACCAGTATCACCTGGTTCACAAAGCTCTGAGTCTTAGAGGACCTGTGCAGATGATGACATATCCTCTATCTGTCAGTTCATGGTACTAATGGAAAGCTGTAAGCAAGGAGACAGTCTGAGGTCTTCTACTTGCTGCAATTTTTGGGTAATGAGTAAATGATGCAAGTTATCTATATGTATGAAGCACGAAATACAGAGACACCGTGGCTGAAGGTACATAGATCCTCTGTTCCTTTGGGCCCCTGCCTTGGCCTTGAAAATGGAATCTAGGCTATGAGGCTTTGATCCCTGAGTGAGATGAAACAACCACTTGCTTTCCAGGGGAGCAGGAATTTAGGGCAGGGAGCATTCCTGGAGATTACTGTGACTACTGGCAGATGGCATATGAGTGATGATAAGCATCTGTTAATTTTTAAGTATAGTCTGGGGCCAAATGGTGGTCTCTGTAGCCATGCACTGGAAGACAGAGGGGTTTTTCTGACTGGCAGCTACTTTGTGCTAAAACAACCTCCCAGTTCATTACCCTCTGCTTTTTCCTGTCCTCACATGGCCTGACACATTTTGTGTGTCCTGTTGTGAGGCTGTAGCTTATTGCTCTTTTTAAAAGGCAGGGTGCAATTTGACCTGATTAAGACCCCTGCATTCAGCTGCTGTGTACAAATTGAGGATTATGATAATTGCTAATAAAGATAATTAAATTCTCTCTGTAAATAGATAATCTCTCCTCCTAATGCTCTGCTATCAGAGTCTCATACTCCCTGCGGTTCATTGAAATAAGCATTACAGCCCCTGGCCAACTGGCCTTATGTTAAGCTGCAGTGGACTTCAGCTTCAAAAGAATGTCTCCAGTATTCTTGATTAATTGAAGAAGCTACCCTGGTGTTTGAAAGAGGCTTTGGCTAAAATGACCCTTTCCCAAGCTCACTGTCTCCTCTTTACACAGGGTTTGATTCTACAGGTGCTGTTTCTTCTGTTCAAGAGCAGGAAGAGCATTGCCAAGCCCACTGCTGTTAAGTGCAGTTTGGCAGGTACACGGTTTGCCCTTCCTTGTGCACATTGTTCAGGGATATGCTCCCCACAGCTTTTTGTGACTTTGCTGTTCTCTGTCTCTTGGGCTCTGCCTTGAGGCTGCTTTGCCCAGACAAAAGCAGCCTGAAGGTGTGTTTGAGTGATGCACCAGTCTCCTCTACTGGTGACTGTCAAGGTTGTGTACACAAAATAAGCAGCTGTTTCCAAGAAGCAAGGCAGCATTGTCACTTGTCTTTTATTGGGGTTTGAAGGAAGAGCAAAGGTATAATGTGCTTGCTTCTTTGTTTGCCATGGGAATAAGGTGACATAATAAAAGGGAAAGAGATTGAATTAGAGGAAGGAATTTATTTTGTAACCTAAGGTCCTTTGAGAAAGGAGCATTTACTCCTTTACAGATGGTGCTGATTTGGAAAACACACATCCCTGGATGTTCAAATGTAACTTTTAGTGCAGTTATGAGGGTTTTACTGCAAGGGAGTTGGTGTTCAACTGCCTTCTGAGGTGATTCTGTAATGGTTGGCTTTAGGAATTGCCAAGTCTCTTCTGCCTGCAGTTTCTCTGAGTTCAGGTGAATAACTTGGATGAGAATGATCCTGCACTAAACTGCTCACCACTCCCTGTGCACAATTTACTCAAAACCTATTCTAAATGCTGAGTCTTTGTTAATGAGAAATCATCACATCTCTTTGAATTTTCCTTTAAATTACTCTTTTAAGGTCTCTGCAGCTTAACCTAATGTCTTAGGCTGTGTCATAAGAGACTGGAGATTGATGTACCGTTTGTAATGCATGCCAGTCTCTGACCTTCAGAAAATGAAATGCTCCTGTGGTGGTTGTAAGAAGGAGTCTTTTGCTGGTAAAGGCAGGGGAACTTCGGGCACTTGAAACTTCTTTTGTTTCCTTTTTTATTTTAATGTTGTATTCTGTACCTTGGAAATTTCTCCCTGTCTAGCCTGATTCAGGGTTAGTGTAAACTAGAGAGAAGAGGGAAAGTACAGCCAGGAGCTAGCAAGTGAATCTCCTGTGATCCTTGTTCTTACAGGCTGTAGGGTGTCTTCAGTGGCATAGCTGGTTGCCCAGGATGTTGCTGGGGAGCTGGAGGCTGGGCTACATGGGCTGTTAGTCTGGTCGAGAGAGAGCTGTTCTATTTTTAGTCCTGATTGAAGAGTCCACCTTGAAGAACAGCCTCTGAGGAGGTTTGACAGGGTAAAAGAGGAAGAGAGAGTTATGTGCTTACATGGTTGAATTCCAGAAAAGTACCAGAAAGTGTCCTAGTGCAGCTGGCTTCCTGGTGACGGGGCCCTAGTGCCTGCCAGAGGTGAGTGCTTAAGTGAGATTTGAATAGAAGTCAGTAAGGAAAGTACTTGCCTCTTCTCTGCACACAGATTGCATCAAGCACTTTACTTGAAGATTTCTTTACTGGCTTGCTTCAGCTGTAATGATTTGTAAACTAATGAACCAAGGCCCCTAAACCTGTTACGATGTGGAAAGGAGGCAGTGTTCCCTGGCTCCTGAAATGCACAGGGTAAAACACAACCTGTCCAGCAAGGCTGATGGTAGTACTGAGACCCTTGGTTTGTGTTACCTGAAAAGAAAAACAGAGACCAAAGGGGAGTCTCACAGGCTGAGTAAGGAGGGAGAAGGCAGCAGCCAGAGGCAGCAGTTGCAACATATTTCTGTGTCATATAAGCTTGTTTTTGTTTGCCAGACATTCAGTTGTAACAATTAAAGGATGAAGTGACTTCTGCCCAGGTGAAGTGTCCTGCTTCCTCTTGCTGAGAAAGTTTCTGAATATGTGGAAGCTGCAAAAAAATACCCACTAATCAATGCCCAAGTCAGTGGGCTCTGTGTAAGTCTCTGACTTTGGAACAGCAAAATATGCTGTCACAGCAACAGCAGAAGTTAACAAATAAGGCAAATGGCTTTGTGGCTTTTGACACGATGTTCTGGCTTGCAGTTGGCTTCTCCTTGCAATTTTCATAGCTGTTCACAAGAGTTTGCTCTGAAAGAAGCAGAGTAATCACCATCTTGTCACCACCAGTGGTGTGTAGGAGCCTGGGATCAGAGTAATCATTGCAAAGCCCTCTGCATTGCAGTGTTGTCTAACTTGTCTGTGAGTCACAGCACTTAGTTAAGTCAAAACATTTGAACCTGCCAGTTCTTTTGCGGCTGTTTCATCAAACTGGGCCAGAAGCTCGTTTTCCAAATGACTGTTGGGTTTCTGGGGCCTTGTACTTACATTCTGGATCCTGAGCAATGGTGTGGTGGTACACCTGAACTCAAGAGCAACAACCACTTTGTGGGTGCCCCTAAGAGTAAATCTGAATGAGAATAGATCAGTAATACCAATGATAGTGTAAACTGGAAACAATAAATGTAAACGTAATTATGAATAACAACTGCAAACAATGCCCCATTCAATATTTAGATCATCTTGTTTCATACTATACAGAAAAATAGCACTGGACCTCTCATTACAAAGCACAAAAATGAAAATAGAAATCTTATGTATTAAATTCATATGGAATGCATTTCAATTTAGATGCGAAACCTGTCAGTTACTGTCGTGGTTTAAGCCCAGGCCGTAAGTCAGCCACGCAGGCCTCTTGCTCACTCCCCCCCTTTCTTCCCACTCCCCTCCAGAGGGATGGGGAGGAGAATCAAAACAATGTAACTCCCAAGGGTTGAGATAAGAGCAGTCCAGTAACTAAAGTATAACACAAACCACTGCTGCTACCACCAATAGTAATAATGATAAGGGAAATAACAAGAGAATACAATACCACCCGTCGATACCCAGCCCGACCAAGCAGTGAACCACCCCTTCCAAGTGACTCTCAGTTACATCCTGGGCATGACGTGCTGTGGTATGGAATACCTCTTTGGTCAGTTTGGGTCAGGTGTCCTGTCTCTGCTTCCTCCCAGCTTCCCCTCCTCCCTGGCAGAGCATGAGACTGAGAAGGTCCTTGGTCAGAGTAAACATTTGAGCAGTAACTAAAAACATCGGTGTTATCAGCACTGTTTCCAGGCTGAAAGTCAGAAACACAGCACTGCATCAGCTACTAAGAAGGAGAAAAATGACTGCTACTGCTGAACCCAGGACAATTACTAATAGCACTTTCTTGCTTTGGAAAAAGTACTTTAGGTACCTTCTAACCTGCTACAATCTGCTTAATTCTTAAAAATTCAGCACGAAATAAATGCTTTCCTGGCAGTTCTGTCAGGCAAGGATCTGTATTTAGGACAGTGCAATGGCTGTTCTGGGAAGAAAAGAGACCTTACTGGCAGATCTTACTGCCTCATGTTTCTGGCAGCAACCCATAAGCAAAGTCACTCTAACAGTTCTTGACTATTACAACTTGTTCTATTTCCTCTGTCTCACCCAAAAGAAAACTTTGAAAAATAGCAGTTGAGGCAGGTAACACAGAGTCTGTCTGCTGAATCCACAGACATGTGCATATTTCAACAATAAAAAAATGTACCTCTTTGGGTCCTTAACAATCCTTAATGAATCAAACCTTGCAGCATTAATGCCTTAAGGAAAGGCAGTCCTTAATTCACAGTGGAGAGAGCTGAAGCCTAAAAGAAGTTTTGGCACACCTGGGACCAGAACACAAAACTCCAGGCTGTTTGCAAGAGTGGCCTTTTTCTAACTTTGTGGAGCTTTTTTGCTACTTGAGTTTTCTGTGCTGACCTTTACTTTATGTGTTACAGTGCAGTAGATAACAGGATGTTTCCTGGTGTGTTTTGCAGGGTTTCTGGAGGAGAACTTTTTGACTTCCTGGCACAGAAGGAATCTTTGAGTGAAGAGGAAGCAACGAGATTCATCAAACAGATTTTAGATGGTGTGAATTACCTTCACTCTAAGAAAATTGCTCACTTCGATTTAAAGGTAAAGATGCTGATTTAGATTTTTTTTATTGTTGATGTTTTTTAATGGTGAACTGTACTGTTTTGGATACCTGTATTTGATACCATGCCTAAAATAATGGGTAAGATCATTGTAAATGCACTGCACAGCTGAGTGCTCCAAGGAAGATAACCTCCCTGTAGTAACTTTTGGGTGGGCTTATATATTTACTGCCTGGGGAAAAAGAAATTGTGAGTCTTCATCCTTCAACTCTGTGCATTTGTGGGGTCAGCCAAAGCATAGTGTTTAAAAAATAAAAATATTAGCATGATGTACAGAAGAAATGCATTTTTAGGAAGAGGAGCCAGGTCCAGTTACGAAGAACTGTTGCTGCATCCAGTCCCCGCTGTGTTTAGAATTACATGAGGAGTATGTGTTCTCCTGTGCAGTCTGGTTAATAGAAAGACTTCTTGATTTCTTAGCTGCGTAGAGTCTTGAAAGCACATCACACAGAGCTCTTTTTTCCACCATATCAGGTGTCATCTATAGTTTTGATCCTTGACTTTGGTGTCAGTACAGCTGGCCTAAACAGTACAGAAGACTTCTGCTTTTCATTGTGGCCTGCCTAGGTGAACACGCTTCTCTGAAACTAGGAGGCTGTTGTCCTTGGAAATAAAACTCTTGAGACTAGAATAAAATGCTTTTTCAGTAGCAGGCTCACAGCTGCAGAACTGGCTGCCTCAGACATCACTCCTTTCCAGAAATACATTCAAAATACACTTATCTATAGGGGAAAGTAGAATAAAACAGTTTTATAATGAAGGGAAAAGGAAAAACTCTACTGCTAGATACATGTTCCTTGTCCTGACTTTAAATTCAGGTTAGTTTATTATTAATTATGTGCGTGCTATAGATAAACTCATCCCAGATTTTCAGGATATATGTGCTCATTCCTTGTGTTAAATGGGTGCCTAATGCTGTCTTTGTCTTAAATTGCTTTGTCTTGAGTCAGTGTTAATGGCAGGTATGTAGTCATTGCAAATATTGCATATCACATCTAACCTAAAAACTGGTTAGCAAACTTCCATCCAAATCTTCATGAGGTGCATGTGAAAAGCATAGGAGATGTGTGAACATATGAAGGATGTGCACTTGATTTTGTAATTACTACATGAATCCAGAAGCCAAGGACTGAAAATATTTGCTTTGTATTAGAAAACAATGTGGTATCTACAATGAAATTATTGTGAGAATACAGGTGCAACTTTTTCTCTATACTGATCTCTAGCTGCTTGTTTTGGTATTTAATACCAGTAATGTTAGGTGGTCAGTGAAGATGTAACAAGAAATGCAAGACAGAAATTGGGAAGGATAAGTAAGCAATCATTGCATTGATAGTGAGCATCACAGAATAACTCTCCTGGGTTTTCAAGGACTCTCGGTTTGGAGTTTTGCTTGTGTTAAATTAGACATGTATTTTTAAGCAGGAATCTGATTAGATAGAGAATGATTTATAATTCTCTTGTCATTTGACAGGGCTCCATTGCCTGCAGTGGAGCTCCAGTGACTTACACCACCTAAGGAATAAAACAGTCCAAGAGGTAGTGACTGTGCCTTTTTGCCGTTTCAGTCTGTTCTGTCTGCTCTCAATAAGCTTACATCATGTGTCTGGGCAAACACATATGCCCTAGATCCATGGAAGAAAAACTGAATTGTTAGCCTGAGGCTAAAATATTCTTGGTCCAGTGACTATGACAATAAATTATTCATCTGCTCTCTTTCCCAGTGCATCTCTGACTGTAAGCGTGTGTTTGCAGGAGCTGCTTCCACATTAGCATCTGCTGTGAAAAGGCCAGGCAGCTGCCAGCAGGGAATTGAACTGTCTCAGTGTTGCTCTTGAGCTTATGGTTAAGTTATGATAAATGAATGCATTAAAGCTCTTCATGGGAGATAAATTGAACCCATAGGTTACTCTGAAACCTGTGAAATAGGGCCATGTAGGGAATAACTAAGGCTGAGATATTAGCTGAAGAAATAAGATTATGAAATATCAATTACATCTAGTAAAGAAAGCAAAAGTCTGTCGTTGAAAAAGTTGGCTTTAATTTCACCGTTCAAGCTTCACCTTTTCCCTTCAATGTTGTGAGAAATGCTACATGTTCTCTTAACAGTTTGCTGTCATATATGAGCTAGGGCCTCTGATGCCAACTCTTTGCATTTTCGGGACTGTTCAGATAACAAATCCTAGATCTTTCCTGGTTTTGTTCTTGCAGCTTTGAATTTAATCTCGTAGAGAGGAGCATTTTCCTTAAGTAGGTCTAGGTATGACTAGAATACCTTAAGAAGCATTTAATCAGACCTCTTCCAGTGAGTTACAAAACAGTACAGGGACAACTGGGCAGAATCAGTAACGTTGCTGTCAGTCAAAGTCCTGAGTGGTGTAGCTCTCCCTCAGGATCCAGCAGTGGCATTCTGGTTCTGCACCACCTGCTTCAGATACCTGCTACCTGGTGTGCCAGGTAGTTGTAACTGGGGCCAGTTGTTGTAACTGTGTGTGTTACCAGTTGTTGTAACTGGGGTTGTGTGTGCAGTTGTTGTAACTGGGGCAGATCCATGGGGTCAGAGTGTGACATCTTCTCTGCAGGCCAGGGGGATACTTTTCTGTTTTAAAAAGTGACAAGATAAGCTGAGTTTGCGCTTTGTGTTGTATCACAGTGCTGCTGGTCTGATAATCTAGTGGCATATCCTGTTAGATTGGGGAACTACATACAACTGAGTGAAAAACTCCTGTCTCATTGTGGGAACAAGGGTATCTGGTTTTCATCCTGGCAATAGCCGTCATTGAGAAAATAAGCTTAGGAGTGCTAATGGGAAGATAAAGGCAGATTTTGCACAAGATAGAATTAAAGGAATGAAAGTATCACTCTTAGTAGATCTGCTTTGCTTTTATGTAGTTCTGCTCCATTCATTTATGTCCAATTTCAGTTGTCATCCCTTTATCAAATGAATGAATTGTGAATGGTTAGGCACAGGTATGTTTCCTGTTCTACAGTCTTGTATAAAAAAAAAGGCATCTGAGAACTCTGCTACATTCTCAAGATATTAATATTATAATAACAAAGATCTATCTTTGGTTATTTTTAGCCTGAAAACATTATGCTTCTAGACAAGAATATCCCTATTCCGCACATCAAACTCATTGACTTTGGCCTGGCTCACAAAATAGAAGATGGAGTTGAATTTAAGAACATTTTTGGAACTCCAGAATTTGTGGGTGAGTGACCTGTTCATTTGACATGTATTGCAACTTCCATGAGGAAGTTGAGACTTCTTTCCAAAGTGAAGAAGTGAGGGTGAGAGGAAGTTTCAATCACATTTCTATCAAGGTAGCCTAAAATTAGAGGTTTACTTTATTTTTCTGGATTAGGCAAAAAAGTGCTTTCTGTAAAGCAGATGTGCTACTTCTGTGAGAGTAGGTTGCTGCCAAATAAATAGAGATGTGAATTCAGGGTTGTGATTGTGAAACCCTGCAAGTAAAAGTTGTAATTCTTTTACTATTGCCTATTTACTAAAGCTCTCTGCCTTGCAGTACATGGGGACACAAGGACTGGGTATCCCTAGCTTTGCTTCCTGATAAAACTGCCTCACACTGGGTACAAGTACTGGGTACTATTAAGTACAAGCCTCTCACCTCCCCTTACATTTTGCCACCCGATTCTCTTTTTGTCACTCATTGATCATAATTGTCATATATCTTACTTGGCTTTTAGCTTAATCCTACTCCTTTCTAGTAGTTTCACTTAGAGATTTTGAAATTGGTTTGCAGAGGGCAAGGACACATCTGTTATAGATGCCTTTTTTCATCTCATTACCTCACCTTGGTCTTTTCTTTTTCATTCAATCTTATATGTGGATGTTTTTCAACGAGGAAATGGTTTTTGTAATGATAATGGGTTTTGGCACAGATAGCAGTGTAGTCTAGCATGTAGTTTCAGTCTCTTGTCTAAGGGCTGTTTCAGGCTGGCCATTAGAAACTAGCTTTAATGGCACCAGTTAAAAACAAGACAAAAGCTCAGATTCTTGAGGGTAACAGTATCCTTGGGAAGCATAATTTGTTTTAATTAGCACTGTAATTAGTATACAACATTTGCTTTACCCTTATACTTGAGTTGCACAATGCTCCAAGTTACTCCACATAATCTCTTGCACACCTGTGAACTTGAATTCCTGTCAGGCCTGTAAAACTCTAGACAGTGCATCCTAGAGCTGCCTTTCTTTTTCCCACCCCCCCCTTTTCCTTCTTGGCAATTTGGTGGTTTTGAGCTGCTGTTCAGTTCAGCCTGGTAAAAACCTGTTACCTCAGCTGCTGATGTTGAATTGAATTCTTCTTACAGCTCCAGAAATAGTGAACTATGAACCACTGGGACTGGCTGCAGATATGTGGTATGTTTTGAACTTCCCCCACCTTGCTCTACTGTTGTCTGTTCCCAGTTTGCTCTGAACAGAGTTCATTCTACTGCAGCAAATCAAAACCAGAAAAAAAAAACAAACCCTTACGTGCAGTTAATAACTCTTTGTTCTGTCTCTCCATTTGTATGCATTCTCTTAAATGAAGAGATAAGCATTTAATTTCTGCAGTATTACAATAAAAAACTTAAGTGATGGCAGTTACAGAGTTAACATTTTACCACTGTCCACTGCAGAGGATGACTCTTGAAAGAAAACGTGTTCCTGTCTCACTTGTGACAGCTTTATTTATAAGTCCTGCATGCAGAGGAGACCTGCATATTAATCTGATCTGCTGAGCAGGCAGGCAAAAGAGGTCACCCCAAATAAAACTTCCTTGTTTCTGTTTCTTTGCATTTCTGCTGTGTTCTGTGGTAAATACCTGCTAGAGTAGAAATACATAAAGACTTCAGATACCCACATTACTTGAAGTTGTGTGTTAAATTCATGCTCAACACCCTGAAACACCATTCTTTGGAAGAGATGTGTTTTCTAAAGCTGCTTGTATAGCAGCTACTATTGATTTTTTCATATTGTGTATATTAAGAATACAGGTCATGTAGAACCCTTGCAATTAATCTCCTTTGTTTTTCAGGAGCATAGGAGTCATCACCTACATACTGTGAGTACAGTGGGTTTGTTGTGTAGAAGTATTCCTAGAGCTCTGTTGCACTAGTATGAAACTGCTCTTCCCTTTAGTCATGTAAGAATGGGGTGGGCAGTAGTTTGTCTGATGGGCAAATGTTATCCTGCAGCCTTTTCAAGTTTAAAATAAAGGGTAAAAGAAGAGGGGCATTCTGAAATGTCTCTAGCATCACTGAGCATTTCTACTTCTTACGGGACCTCATCAGCTCCAAACGGTAGAGGATGGAAAAGCTCAAGTGTATTGGTTGCTCTCAGAATGACCACGAGCTATCAGTGTGTGGAGGGAATAGAAAGTGTAATAGTACCATTTACAAGGTGAGTTATTTCAGGTAAATACAGGGAAGATTTAATTTGCTTGTAAAGACAAATCGGTCCAGGTTACTATGCATAAACGTGGTCACCCATGTTCAAAAGGTGATTTTAAGCTGGGTTGGGAGCAGAGAGGTTGACCGTGGGAACTGAGAATTCTTTGTACAGCAGACAAAAGGGCTTGTTAAAACGAGTAAAGCAAAGGCTGGTTGGGAATACTGCTGTAGTCAGCATGAGGGGAAAAAAAGTGTGTCAACTGGTGATGACTAAATAAAAGTAGGAGATTATGACAAGCTCAGGCTCAAAGAAATGAGGTTCTGTGGGCATCCCAGGGACAAGCCGTCGAGAGAGTTTTAAGGTGGAGCTTGACAACTTGAGAAAGTGCTTGTGTGACAATGGATGCGTGCACTGGAGGGACAGCATTCACTGCTTCAGGTATTCTTTCCTCTGGTTTGATAAGGGAATTACAGAAGTGATCAGCAATTCTTGGACCTAACTGCTTCCATTGTAATCAAGCTGCTGTGACTGCTGGGGAGCAGCGCATGGCAGAAACTGCATGCTTGGAAATGTCTCACCCTGTCATTCCTACCCTGGGCATCTGCTCTTCCTTATAACATTCAGAGGACTAACTTGCCACGTTTAAAGAAGGAGCACTCCAGTGCTTTTGTGATGGGAGGGGTCAGTTTGCATGGTATGCTAAGTACTAGGAATGTGTATGCCTTTAGTATTGCCTGTTGAATTTAAAGTCTTTTGTTCTGAAGAAGTCTGAGTAAATGGGGTGGGTCTAATGATACCACCTACTTTAGCAAACATGGCAGCAAGCAAATGGATGCCATCCTCAAGTGCAGAGCTCAAAATGCCTACAAGTCCTTAATTCAGCAACCAGTGGAGTGGTTCCCGGGGTTGTAAGGGCAAAGCCTTGAATACTGAGGTCTGCTGTTAGATATTTACAGGCGCTGAGTCAGGGTATGACAAGTCATTTCCATTAGGTGCTCGAATTTGAGAATCTCCTCATTTCGCAGACCTAAAGACTGAGTCCCAAAGAGGCAAATAGAGCACTATTGGCTTTGGCTTTCAGCAAAGAGCCAGAAGGTGGAATTACAGCTGCTTCATTCCATAGTTTTGGGAAAGGGAATAGAAACTAAGGCTCTAGGGCAGGCTTCCAAGCTTTAGTTTTGGAACAGTGCCCATGGTCTGTGGTGAGGTGCCTGCTTGTAGCCTTCTTTGTGGCTAACTCAAATGGAACAAAAGCTTAAGAGGTAGAATGTAAAACCCTTTAGGAAGTGAGATTGACTGTTGCTTATGGGGTGACATTTACTCCGTCAAAGAGAACTGGAGGACCTAACTAATGCTGCCTTGCTGTGTAAGCTGCTTTGGCATTGTTGTATGGTTATAGAGGGACAGGAAACAGTTTATGCACTGAGATGTTTATTCTGTGGATAAAACCACATGTGGTAGCTGGGAATGGGGCTGAATGGCCCAGGTGGTCCCGTTAAATTTCTACTTATCCCCAGATTCCCAGTCAGCATGGTGTTTGCCTGGGCAACAAGGTAAAAGGACTGTTGGGCAGGATCATGTAAGCAGGTGGTTTAGTATTCACAACCTCAGTTCAAATCCCAGGAGTTTATTGAAGCCCTGTTCTGAGCCTGCTGCATCCTGGAACTGTGCTGTCAAAGCCAGACATAATAGATAAGCATAGTAATAGCCCAGAAGATTTTCAGAAAGGGATGAGGTCAATTTCCTTGGCATAAATAACATTTCCTATCAAGCAGGCTTTTGCCAGTCGGCATCCCTGTGGGTTGGGGCAGGGAGGAAGGGAAGGACAGGCAGAGTCTACAGTGTATCTGTTCTAACACTTGAGTTTAGTGGAGCAGAGGTATCAAAGGCATCAAAGTTGAAGGTTGTCACTTGCTGTTGAGAGATGGGCAAAGCAGGAGGAAAGCTTTTTCTCGTAAGATGCTGAATAACTTTTTATTATGGTGTTGTCTCCATTATATCCTTGCAGTTAGAGCAGAGTGCCACCAGAGTGAAATGTTGCATTGCTCAGAAGTAGGAAAAGTCCTTCTGTTTGCGGATTCCTTTTAATGAGCAGCATGACATTACCTGTCCATCGGACATGGCTCCTAGGCAAGGCCACACACATCCGACTGCCCGTCCCGCATTGTGTTTTCGTTCCAGCTGAGAAAGGTCTCTTGGCTGAACCCACTGTGCAGGGAACTTGTCAGTAGCTTTGCAGACAGAAAAGCAGTAGGGGCGGGACTTTTCCTACCCAAAGAAAATGTATAGAAACAGTACTTTCTCTATTTGAAGCTGTTGGAAGCTTCTGCCTGGTAGTGTTTGTGGGTTCACAGGAATAGAGGCTCTCCCCTGCTGAAACTTCTGCTTTGATTAGCAATGACTTCAGTGAGACTCTTGACAGAGGGGAATCTGTGCAATTTTATCTGTGTGCACACATTAGTGCCATACTAGAGACTTTCAAGATGAGTCTGATTCATAACCCATAGATGTAGTGAGCCAAAGCTGGACCTGTTATTTCCCATGTAGCATGACTGCTGCAGAATGAGATCCACAAATGTCCTGAGACTGTATTATACACTCACTGTAATTTCAATAGGGGACCTCTGCTGTTTATTTTTCCAGCTGATTTTTCTTTCTGGGTTATCTAGCCTCAGTGGTGCTTCGCCTTTCCTTGGAGAAACTAAACAAGAAACACTTGCCAACATCACAGCTGTGAATTATGAATTTGATGAAGAATTTTTCAGCAACACCAGCGACTTGGCAAAAGATTTTATTCAGAAACTCCTGGTGAAAGATACACGGTAAGTGTCAATTCAGGAAGATCCATTTGTCTCCAGGATAAACTTGGTAAAAATAGGTTCTCCTGGCTTTTAATAAAAGCTGTGGAATGGGGAAGTAGCATCTCCTTCCCTATAACCTTCTGTGTCCTGGAGGGAAGTCAGGCTATTGCAGTTCTTTTTAATGGCTTCATTAGGGGAGAAGATAGGTATTCCCCATTGGAATGGAGAAGTAGCATCTCCTTCCCTATAACCTTCTGTGTCCTGGAGGGAAGTCAGGCCATTGCAGTTCTTTTTAATGGCTTCATTAAGGGAGAAGACAGGTATTGGAGTGAAGGAGACAAGGTGTTAGTCAAGATTCCTGCAAATCCTCAAGCCTTAGAATGGGCTGCAGTAGGTGGGGTTGGTGTCAGGTTTGCGCAAGTCTAGCAACCTCCCTTTAAGAAAGAACAGGTCCCTGATACTGATTTGTCCCATGTGCCAGAGGCAGTGCTGTGTTTTCTACCTTTGATTCTTAGCGCTCTTAATGTGCTGTTCACCAAACTGCTACAATGCAGAAGGAAGTTAGGATTGCCTAGATTTGAAGTATTGCTCTCAGAAACGTTCCTCTCTGGAAATGGCAGCTCCTGCATGCAGTGATGTAATACTGTGTTCTGAAGGCCAGTTTTGATGTAATTCATGTTGTAAACCTTGATTCAAACATAGTCATATTCAAGATGTATAGATAGAATTTATTTTCCAAGCATGTAGGATGAACAAGACAAAATCAATGGACTTGTGTACCAGGTGTTTCTCATTCACGTCTGGGGGGGGGTTGTGGTGTTTTTTAGGAAACGGCTTACAATTCAGGAAGCTCTGTCTCATCCGTGGATAACGGTAAGTCTGATAGACACACTGCGAGCAAAGCAGGGGTGATGTTCTCACTCTTATTGGTGTGTTAAATGGAAAACTGCCCTCCAGGTGCATAATGAAACTGTGTGTCTCAAAGAAATGCACTGGGAAGAAATTGGTTGCATCTTACTAAATCCTTGGATTTCTGCAAATGACCTCTTCTTACCAAAACTTTGATGTTTGTTGCACATTCTAGTATATCCTACCTTAAACTGGGGCTTGCATTTTTCCATTCTTCTCAGTTTGCATGGACATATGCAATGTGTTTGGTTTAGTGCTTTCTGGAGTTGAGATTTCACTACACCCAATGTGGAAAATACCATTTCTCTCAAGATCTAACTGCTATACCAAGTGTGCTGGTTTGCTTACCTTTGTGTGTCTGTATGTACTTTTTCATCATAAACATGGCTTGCTTTCGTGGATAAGTCCCTTACTGAAAACACAGCTAATCTCAGCATGACTGGTGAGGATGTTTGAAATGCACAGACCATTAACTGGAATGTTTTCAGGATTGTTGTTCTTCCTCTTACAAATATTGATGGCTTTGAGACTGTTAACTGCTAAAAATCAACATGAAAGTCAATTGGGGCCCTGTTATTTACACTTACCACATTGGAATGAATGCGCATCGCTTGTCACATTCAGGTCTGGGTTTGTGTGTTGGTTTGTTTGGTTGTTTTTATCCTTTTACTCAAATGCATGAAGGAAAGCCTGTGGGAGCAGAGGCTCTCCCAGCATTGTGGAAGCTCAGGCTGCATCCGTTGTGTATAGTTTTGAATTGCTGCACTGTCTTGTAAAAGGTCAGTAATACTGGTTCCTCTGTCTGATGGCTCACCAGCTGAAAGAAGAAACAAAAGTCCAAGAAAATAAGAAGGTTGAGAACACGCAGCTGAAGACAAAACGCCTGAGGGAGTACACCATAAAGTGCCATTCGAGTATGCCTCCCAATAACACCTACATCAACTTCGAGCGCTTTGCCCGGGTAGTAGAAGACATTTCACTTACAGAACGGGGGTTCAGCACTTTGGCTGCATCCCATGATTCCTTACAGGAGGACATTGATGCTCTGGTTTCCATTTATAATGAGAAAGAAGCTTGGTATAAAGAGGAGAATGAAAGCGTGAGGCACAAGCTGTCTCAGCTGAAGTATGAATACCGTAAAATTGAATCCCTGAAAAGGCACCTACAAGATGATATCAAGACTGTAGGCACTAGTCTTACAGGCATAACCGGGAAGTACACTGATCTGCAGAGTCAGTATGACTCTCTCAGTCAAGAACTTTCTGAGGAGCTCAAGTGGATACAGGATTTAATGAGTAATTTTCAACTGGAAAATGAAGCCTGTGTGAATGGAAACTTTGACTCTGTTTTCAACAAAGATATCAATGAATCTCTAATGGAGCTGTTAAATAGATCTCGCTGTGAGGAATTTCTTGCAGGCTTGAATCTTGAGGTAGCAGCATCACATCAGTGATACTGTAGATCAGTCTAGGTGCAGAGTTTGCTGCCTCTTTCAAAGTACAGCAGCTTAAAAAGTTTTCAGTGCGTAGATTTTACACAAAAAACCATAACCTAGATCTGAAACAGAAAATCTCATGTATTGCACAAGGTGCTGACCAAAAGCTTGCAGTGTTCTGTAGTACTGAAGTATTTTTCCTATGTTCAGTGTCTGAACTTATGGGAACTATATCATCACAGTGTTATGGACACATCTAACCCTACAGCCTCTTGCATTGCCTGCATTATACTTCATCATGTATGACAGTTCTTGAAGATTATTGAGTAATTAACGTGGAATAAAGAGTAGGTCGGTCGATACTTACTAGAAGCTGGATGCATGGAAACTGATAAAAATCTCCTGTAGCTTCCTTGTTTGTACGAAGGAATGGTCCTGCAGACCTGCTGCAGGCAATTCTACAAACCATATGAGAGAAATATTTGCACAGGTTAAATCTGTCCCGTACACCAGAGTCAGCAGTGTAGTAACTGAACATTTAGCTAGCACTGTGAAATGGCTGCTGATGAAGAAAAGTTAAGTTGATTTTTTTAGGCCAGTTATGCAGGGTGAAATCTTTTTATCATCAAAGATGTTGTTGATTAATCCTTTAGTTTAAAATCCAGCTGACTTTCCTGTTCTGTACCAAAGAAATCCTATTCATGTGACGCAACCGGGGACTTGCGATGAACTGATCAAATAACTGTGTGTGTAATTTCACAGTGCAAATCTTAAGTTGAGAGTGATAAGTGATAACACAAGTACTGGTTTGCTTTCTACAGTAAAGGTGATGACAAAGGTACAACTGATGTCATCTGTGGTGTGGGATTTAAGGCCAGTGTTCTTGCTACGAAGATACCTTTTTTTTTCCTTAAGGTTTAGAAAGTAAAAAACCCAAATTGTCTCAAACTTGAGTCATGCCTGATTGCCTTGTGTTTCAAAGAAGTCCTTTGATTATACTGTATTGATATGCACAGATGTATCCATCTCAGTTTTGGACACAATAAATAGTCGCTTATGCAGGATGTACTTGTTCCCTGATGGTGTAGCTAGTGACTGAAGAAGAGGTGTCAAGTTTCTGTGTACTGAAAAGAGTTACCAGCTTTGTTTCTGTGGCTAGTTTACAGCCAGCCCCTGTGCTTAGCCGTATGAGTTCACTGCAAGGTAACAAGGTTTATGCAGCTAGAAGAATTGGTGAGATCGTAGCCAGGCATCACTGCTCAAGTCCATCTAGAGTGGATCTTTATATGCATATTGGAATGTCTTTCACTGCCCATCCTCATTCCTCCTTTTCTAGAGAACCTAATAAATTAAATGGAACTGTTGTTGTTCAGAATATTACTAAGAATAATGTTTATTACTTTGATAAAAGTATACTCTCATCCAGTTGGTTTAGAGCATAGTGGTCCACTCACTGCCATGTCCTCATAAAGATGTGCAGAGGCTGGTGAAAATGCAGAGCTCTGAAAACACTTAATTATAGGGGTATTGTAACTCCTGTCATTGTACTCAGTGGAGGATGGAAACTGGATGTGCTCTCTGTGGCATCTTTCTTTGCACAAGATGAAAATTTTCCTAAAGCTTCCAAGTGGTGCAGATAGCCAGGAAATGTCCCTAGCAAGGTGGTGGTGGTGATGGTTGGTGGGAAGTGGGGTCCACTGTGACAAATAGTACTGGGAATTTTATGTATGCCCATTTTTTATTCTTTTAGAACGCTTCAGTCATCACTACTGTAGTGTTCCTTTGAGCTGGAAGGCCCACAGGATACTGTGCAGGGGAGCTGGAACACAGGACTCCTTATCCCTGTTTTATAAGGGAGAGAGTTCTAATTCTTAAAAGTAACTTAAAACTTAGTGAGAGTTCATATCTGCAGCAGAGATCCTCAGGAAAGAGAGTCTGCCTTCCCTCAGCTATGATCTCATATTCTCTGTTCGTCTTGATATTCTTTATGAACAAATGTGTTGGCACAATGAGAAGGAACATTAAATGAGGCCACTCTGTTCCTGAGCATGTTTAGGTGAGGTTATTGTTGTGACTCAGTCCTTGAGGCTAATGCTCTGTGAGCTGAAGGAGGTCACTGACATCCTGCTTTTGAGAAGATATTCTGATGATGGGGAAAACAACAGGGTCACTGGTTTGCAGGCCACTTAGAAATTGAGAGGCTGTTATTAAGAGTCTGCAGTATCTCACTGTAAAGTGGGCTACTTTTGATGCAGCGATTTTGCTGCTGAAAGGGCACTCAGAAATTGTTCATTGTGATTGTACAGCTGACATTTAGCAAATGACATTTTTTCCACTTCAAATTGATTTCTGCTCGGTGTTTTGTTGCACCATGCTAGCCATTTACAGCATGAGGAAATTACATTTAATGCTTGAATGTCCCAGTTCTGTTGTATGCAAGCGGTGTATACCTCCACATCAGAAGGAGGCATAATGGATAGCGTGGCTCCTGGAATTTCTGCAGGGATGTCTGCACAAATGCTGTACCTGGAAAGTGAATGTGTTGTCTCATGAACATTATCAATTATTTTGCTGAAAAAAATGTTTAAATCCTTACTGCTGTGATTTCCCTTCTCCTTTGGTGCTCTTGCTTCTGCAGGTGTCTGGCTTGATTGCATTCCAGTCCAGTTCAGTATAAATATTTCTGGTTTATCCACCGCCTACATATGCAGATCAGAACTGCGGGAATGGTTGACACTCCATAAGCTCCATGGTCTTTGAAGGGTTGATTTCTGGCCTTTCTCTTTTGCCTTTTACCAGGTCTGGTTTTGAACTTTTTTCCCCTCAATCTGTCACATAGTTTTCTGGTCTATGCAAATTTTGATGTGGTTTTGGAGGTGAAAGGTGCTCTGTTTTCAGAAGGGCTGTGTCAGGGTTTGCAGAACACCTGTTCCTTTACACCAGATGGGCATCCAAACATTTAAGGCACATGTCTGAATTCTGATGTGTGTTTTTTTCTTGCCTGTTTTCCATACTCAGGTGTTGCAGTTCTTTCCTCATGTGTTTATTGCCAGGGTACCAATGTCTTGTGCTGTCATACTCTGGGTATGGTTAAAAGACAAAACCTACATCTTTTCAGTGGTGTGGATCCTCATCACTAATATGAAATGACAGCTTTTTCCCTTTTCATTACGGCGATGTCAGCAAAACATTGGAGTCAGTTAGATGAAATGCTGTGAAAATGATTAAGGGATGGGACTGTTTGTCAAAAGGGAGAGACTGAGAGAGCTGGGATTGTTCAGTGTCAAAAGGAGAAGGCTTGGGCAGATCTTCTCAATCTGTATAAATATGTGGTGGAATGGAGTAAAGAAAACAGAGCCAAGCTCTTCTTATGGCGTCCCGTGACAGAACAAGAGGCAATGGGCACCAGCAGGAAGAAATAACATTTAAATATTACAAAGACCAAACAAACTTGTTACTAAAGGAGCAGTCAAACACTGGAACATGTTCTGAGAGGTGTTATGGAGTCTCTGTCCTTCAACATCCGAGTGAGCTGTGGTGCTGGGCACGCTGCAGTAGCTGACCCTGCCTGAGCAAGGGAGCTGGGCTTGAAGATCTCCAGAGGCCCCTTCCAAACTTAACTGTCCTGTGATTCCTGGCAAGTCCAGTGTTGACAAAAGCTGGTCATGGGTTGCTGTTCTTGGGTCACCTTCTAATTTTGCTTGGGATCTCTAAGTGCAGATTCCTTGCAGTGGCAGGTTACCTGGGCTTCTGATAAGCAGACAGGGTTTCATCGACCAGCTTTGAGAGAGACAAGAAAAAGGCTACTCTCTGGTACCATGTTAATACTTGGGTTATAAAGTACAGCTAGCACCCTCTGGAGTTATTCCCTATTTCACATTCACATGTTCTTTAGAGCTGAAGTGACTGCCTCAAACTTACCTATGTACTTTTGAAATGTCTATAGCACAGCTTTTTTATTCTTTCCTTCTATGATGTTTACCCCAGCCTGGTAAAAGAAAACCTGTCAAAGCACAACTCAGAAAAGATGTGCTAGAAGAGCCAAATCCTGGAAGCGAGGAAAGGGCCCTCATTGATCTTCGGTTTAAAAATATCCTTGTAAAGGGCAAAATGTGAAAACTTTTATCTGAAAATGTAGAAAGTAGCACAGGACCTAACAGTGTGGTGATGCTGGTTTACTTCTATTGTGTCATGATTTCTAGCAAGCCCCTGCAAACCCCCTGAGCAGCAGTGTGCTGCAGTGCCACTGATATGCTGGCATCTCCTCCTCCTTTCTGTCGAGCCTCTGTGGAACCTGTTCTTTGCTTTCCCAGTGCCTTTCAGAAAGAGAGAGGTGAATAAATGCCAGATGATATGAGCTCTATCCAGAGAAGGTGGTGCAGGTGTGCACTAAGAGGCACCTCAGCAACTTTACAAAGTGGAAGCACTGCCTTAGCATCCTCTAGCATCCCCTTATCTCTCTCTCTTGTTTGGCTGTCCTTCCTTCTGTCCTTCAGCTAGAAAAGGTGTTCCCAGACCTTTTGTTTGTTTTTATGTGATCATTATGAAACAGAATATGTAAGTGTAGGTTGGAACAAAGTCCAGGCCATGTGGTACACCTTTTGTGCCAGGTTACGTGGCTAGAAAGGGGCAGCAGTGGAACTTCTGAGCACAGTTTTGTGCACGTGGCCAAGTGTGACCATGGACTGCACTGGCTTTAGGATGTTGTTTGAGATCAGAGGGTACTCTCCAGGCACAAGGTGGACTAGATTTAACTATTTTTCTTCTGCTTTTACCTATATGAACCCACAGCTTCTCCAGCCAGCACTCTTTCACCCAGCTCCAGAGCACATGAAGAATCTTATGTATTTCGTGCACCAGCGGGAGCCAGGCAATAAAATTGCTCTCTTATCTTCCAGCCAGTGGACAAGCGACAGGCTTTGGTTCGGCAATCGTCTGTTGTTAACATGGAAAACTTCAAAAGGCAATATGCTAGAAGGAGATGGAAGGTATGACAGCGAGCCTTTAGTCCTTCTCATGTCAGGCTTCCCCAGCCTCATGGAACAGAAGGCAAGATAAAACTTGAATGTAAAATTGTAATGCACAGTAGGTAAATGAAATGTGTTCAGGAATGTCTGTGCTGCATATGTGTGGTCAAGTTCTCATTCTTCCCTCTCTCCATAGCTTTCCTACCGTATTGTCTCATTGTGCAACCAGTTGTCTCGTTCGCTGGTGAAAAAGGTCCTAATAGAAGATGAAAGTATGGTAGGTACATTTCTTGAACGGGGAGAAGGACAAATTTTGCTGAGCAGTGATTTTTGCTGTCCTTAAATGGAGGCACAGCCCAACAGGATTGCAGTGTTTTTAAGGGGGAAAACGGATGGGACCATGGTGTCCATTGTGTGCCTTTAATGCTGCCATAAGTTGTGTTACAGAAATGTTGGGCAGGAAGAGCTGGTAACTATAAACCCTTGAGGTGCTAGCCATATTCATGCTGCAGAGGAGCAGCAGGGAGGCTGCAGGTTCTGTTTGGATACCGTAGCAGTGACTGTGCTGTCTGCCTGGGAAGTGAGCAGTGTTGGAGAGAGTCTGCACTGCTGCTCTGATGCCCAGCAGTGTGGTGGAGGGTTGGGGACCCCTGCGGTGCATGTGGCCTTCTGAAATTCCTATTAGCTCTACTCTTCTCAAGAGACGATAAGCTAATAATAATATTAGAACATCATGTTTAGCAGCATGGTGTCTCACTGATGTGACTGTGCCTTTCTATTTCAGAGGAACTGTGAAAGTGACAGTGAGGATCTTTCTCAAAGAAAAGCCACTCATCAGAGGAGAAGCAGCATATCATAATGGAAGGAGAGTTTCACGGGCAGGAGACAGAGGAAACTTCCATCCTTGTTGAAAAGAGCAGCTCTGACAGCAGACATTGACTTCCTGTCTGAACCCTTGGTATGATGCTTCTCACTTCTCAAACTGCACCAACGGCTGGATGGTATTATTAAATACCTGCTGAGCAGTTTAGAAAGTTGGTGATCCAGATTCCTGAGGAAATGCTGCAGCACAAGCACTGATTGAAGTGCCTTTATATGTTGAATGTTTTAGTGATACTTCAATCCATTTGGGATATCAACTGCACTCGGGACATAGGGTTTCTAGTGATATTCTTCAACTGCAGAATCATTCACATTCTGCACAATGATAAAGACTGTGCATTATTATTTCAGTCAGGGAAATTGTTACTGAGTCTTCAGGAAAAAAAATTAATATGGTTTTCATTTGTTAATAGCATAAGGATTTGATGACAGATACCTGTCAGGTTTATTAGCTGTGTGCAGTACTCTGTTATTGCTGCCACTGAAGAAAAAATCATAGTGCCATTACGTATCATAACCTTGATTT